ATGAGTGCGTAATTTTTTTAATTAATTGAAGTAGGGCGATGAATTAGTTGTGGATTTTTGCGTTTATGTAAAGGAGAAATATATGGCTAATGATGGATGTAGTACGAGTTCTTCAAGTTTTAACCAGAGGGATGGCTAATATTGAGGGGACGATTTTAGTACGTATATAAATATATTGGTCATCATATATCAAGTATCGAAATCCAACTCGACGATCTTATGGATATTTTCAGAGATTCGGTAAGGGAATTGGCCATCTCGTCAAAGGAAAAACGAATTTTGTTGGAGGTCTGTCTCGGTCATTTTGAGATTTGCTGGTATGTGTCATATTTGCTTATGTATGTTTATGTGATGAATGATATTATGTGTAAATTATGTTTTAAGTTATACATTTAATTGCATGTATTTAATTACCAGTAAGTTACTGTTAAGAAGTAAGTTGTCTTCAAGGAAGGTGACAAGTTTTAAGAGTTTTTTGTCGCTGGCGCATTCAGTTGCCCATATGAGATTTTGAGATGAGCAGCAGTTATGCTTTTGAGAATCGTGGCGAAGAGCCACTACGATAAGTTTAAGATGTTAGGGGATGATCGTTACGACTCCCCGAACTAAATTTAAGTTTTTGGAAGCCTAGATGGGCATTAATACGTATGAGTTGGGCAACCGGACTAGCTAGTTAGGGATCCCCGTGTCAGTCAGGAATTTAAGTCAAGATTTGAGTTTTAAGAATGTAGAGTAACATTAAATCTCAAATATTTTTGAATAATATGCTAGAAAGTTTAAACATAAGGGCGTTGACTGACCCCAACTCACTCACCATATCATAGAGGCGGAGATCGTAAACAGACAGTTCGTGATCAGCAAGTTTGAAGAGCTCAACACAATCTTTGCTGAGGGATGGCAGGTGAAGGATCATCGTAAGCACTAAGCATTGGAGAACACTTTAATTTGTTGATACTTTGTGGTTATAAATTTAAGATTGGAGATACATTTCTTTTGTTTATTTTAAGAGTATGATTTAAGTTTTGCCCATGTGTTTAGGGTTTTGTCCTGAATTATTAAGTTATTTAAGTTTGGTCATTTTAATCAAGGTTATGTTATTTGAAGTGTTTTTAAATATACCGGGGTAGAAATGTCATTTCCAAGTTTCAAAGTAGTGGGATGTTTCACAATCAACCAAAGTAACATACTTGCAAGAGTTCCTATGTGAAAGAATTCATATATTTCTCAGCTGCCCTAATAATAGTATTTAGTTAGGTGGAGTAAGAAATAATTCTGAGTATCAAGGATAAAAAAATTGGTTAGACATGATTAAGTTGGTTCAGTTTTTAAGAGAATCAAGGATAAAAAAATTTGAACCCTTCCAGTTAAAAAACGAAAACTAAAAGAAGAAGCTCTCCCTCCTATAGAAGAACAATTATCTTCCATCTTCTTCTTTTGGCAGTAACAACTCAAGCAAGCAACAAGCTTTTATTCCTCTCGACAACCAACAAGAACTCGGTCCCTTCCATTCTCCTTCCTCTCGACAAACACAATGAAGGCAGCAGCTCCATTTCTATTCCTTTTGTTCACGGCAACAACAAGCAGATCAAGCATCAAGTCGCACTTCATACGGTGGAAGCCTCATTCGATAGTAGATCGAACATCGCCGTCATTGCTCGATCTCCCTCGAAATCACCTTATCCTATCGTTAGTATAAGACACTAAATACCTTTCAAAGTTCGAGTCCATTTTAGTAACCAGTTCACATACGTAATTAAATGGAGTTACGTTGGCCAAGTGATTGGGTGATCAATCGACGAGATCAATGTCGAATATAGTTTGAACAACCTCCATCACGTTCTAGGCACGAAGTTAAGGTAACGAGCTAGACCTCCTCTTACAAGTCTTTTTGTGTTTGGGGTATCTAAGTGTCATACCTAGGATTGCTCCATTAGCACGATATTGTCCGCTTTCGGCCAAACCCGCACGGTTTTAGTTTTCGGTGTCCTCCGCAAAAGGCCTCGTACTAATTAGCTTGGTGGACACTAATATACAAGGATTCCTTTCCTTGTATTTCTTATGTGGTACTTGGATTGTCTCATAACAATCCTCCTCTCAATCCAAGGACCACGAACTTCGTGTCCTCACCCCAGCGATTATCTTGATCCGCCGGACGCTTTGTATCGATGGGCATCTCGGTACAAGGACTTTAGCAAACGCAGAACTCTCTTTGATCTGCTTCCAAAATGCGGAACTCTCTTTGATCCGCCAAGCCCAAATGTGGATCTCTCCTGGATCCACCAAACAGACGGGAATCTCAAATCCCAAGGTCACCGAATGAGGGTCCACCAAACTAACGTCCACTGGCCCGCACTGAACCAGGCTCTGATACCACTTCTCCTAACCGGGATTGCTCCATTAGTACGATATTGTCGGCTTTGGGCCAATCTCAGATGGTTTTACTCTTGGGTGTCCTCCCCAAAAGGCCACGTACTAATTGGGAAGGTGGACACTAATATACAAGGGTTCCTTCCTTGTACTTCCGATGTGGTACTTGAATTGTCTAACAATCCTCCCCTCAAGCCAAGGACCACGAACATCGTGTCCTCACCTCAACGATTATCTTGATCCGCCAAACATCTTGTATCGATGGGCTTCTCGGTACAACGATTTTCCCATACACGGAACCAGGCTCTAATACCACTTATCATAACCGGGGTTGCTCCATTAGTACGATATTGTCCGCTTTTGGCCAAGCCCGCACGGTTTTACTGTTGGGTGGCCTCCCCAAGAGGCCTCGTACTAATAAGCTTGGTGGACACTAATATACAAGGGTTCCTTCCCTTGTATTTACGATGTGGTACTTGGATTGTCCCATAATACTTGGTTATATTTAATTAAGTGACGAACGGAGTTATTGAATTAATGATAGTAACGGGAAGGAGCTAACGAAAAGTTCTTCATGCATGGCTTGACTAAATTAATAGATGAATGAGTTTGTTATTTTTCAATATGATTCGTATTATAGGAATAATTGTGACGTGATGGTAGCTATTAAATTTGCGTATGTAAATTAAATATGGCTAGTTGTATAGTATACGTTAAAATCACCTAACTAGGATTTAGCATGTACGGAATAAAAATGACCTTTTAAATTAATATGTAGTTATGTAAGAGATGGGTAAATAATTATGTTAAGATTATTAATTAATTACCTTGTAAAGTATATATTTGTGGATTAAAACGAGAAATGGATCTTACTAGCATGCATTATTTTAGTGTATATAAATATAGTTAGTAATAATAAAGCTAGTTTGTGAAGCAATTAAATCTAGGTTGCATACGAGGATGAGTGCATAATCTTTTTAATTAATTAGAGTAGGGCGATGAATTAATTGTGGATTTTTGCGTATATGTAAAGGAGAACTAAATGGCTAATGATGGATGTAGTACGAGTTCTTCAAGTTTTAACCAGAGGGATGGTCAATATTTTAGAGGATGAATTTAGTACGTATATAAATATATTGGTCATCATATATCAAGTATCGAAATCCAACTCGACGATCTTATGGGAATTTTCAGAGTTTGGGTAAGGCAATTGCTCATCTCGCCAAAGGAAAAAAGAATTGTGTTTGAGGTCTGTCTCACTCATTTTGATTAAGGAAATAAAGTGAGTGTAAAGGGGTAAAATCTACGCCTTATATAGTTTAAAGTATTTATATTACGGTATTTAAATTTGAGATTTGTTGCTATGTGTCATATTTGCTTATGTATGTTTACGTGATGCATGATATTATGTGTAAATTATGTTTTAAGTTATACATTTGACTGCATGTATTTAATTACCAGTAGGTTACAGGTAAGAAGTAAGTTGTCTTTTAAGTTATACATTTTAGTCGCTGGCGCTAGTCAGTTGCCCATATGAGATTTTTAGATGAGCAGCAGTTATGCTTTTGAATTTTTCAGATGAGTAGCAATTATGCTCTTGAGTATCGTGGTGAAGAGCCACTACGATAAGTTTTAGATGTTAGGGGGGATGATCGTTACGACTCCCCGAACTAAGTTTAAGTTTATGGAAGCCTAGATGTGCATTAATACGTATGAGTTGGGCAACCGGTCTAGCTACTTAGGGATCCCAATGTCAGTCAATAATTTAAGTCTAGATTTTAGTTTTAAGAATGTAGAGTAACATTAACTCTCATATAGTTTTGAATAATATACTAGAGAGTTTAAACGTAAGGGCGTAGACTGACCCCAACTCACTCACCAGATCATAGAGGCGGAGATCGTAACCATAGAGTTCGTGATCAGCAAGTTTGAGGAGCTCAACACAATCTTTGCTGAGGTATGGCAGGTGAAGGATCATCGTAAGCATTGGAGAACACTTTAATTTGTTGATACTTTATGGTTATAAGTTTAAAATTGGCGATTCGTTTCTTTTGTTTATTTTGAGAGTATGATTTAAGTTTTGCCTATGTGTTTAGGGCTTCGTCCTGAATTATAAAGTTATGTAAGTTTGGTAATTTTAATCAATGTTATGTTATTTGAAATGTTTTTAAATATACCCCGGGGTAGAAATGTCATTTCCAAGTTTCAAAGTAGTGGGATGTTTCACAATCAAACAAAGTAACATACTTGCAAGAGTTCCTATGTGAAAGAATTCATATATTTCTCACCTGCCCTAATAATAGCATTTAGTTAGGTGGAGTAAGAAATAATTCCGAGTATCAAGGATAAAAAAAATTGGTTAGACATGATTAAGTTGGCTCCGTAGAAATCTATCTTACGGAGCAAGGTTGGTTTTGTGTTCTGCTGTTCTAGGGAGCATGCCTTTATACATGTTTTCCCTATTCAAGGCACCTGTCTCTGTTGTCAAGGAATTAGAAAGAACGCAGAGGAGGTTCTTATGGAATGGGGGGCGTGAGAACAATAAAAGGGGCCTCGTGGATTGGACACTCTGCAAAACAGAGAAAAGCAAAGGCGGGCTAGGAATTCATGATCTTAAAGCCTTCAATGACGCAATGTTGTCCAAGTGGCTGTGGCGGTTTGCAACGGAGAGGGATAGTTGGTGGCGCAAACTTATCGATATCAAGTATCACAACCCCTCTTCTGTTTGGCAAACGGAAAAGGTTAGAAGCGGTTTTTCTCAATCGGTGTGGGAGAACATAACGAAAGAATACGAGCTATTTTGGAAGTTTGCAAGTCTTGACCCGGGTAATGGGTCCATGATTTCATTCTGGCATGACGCTTGGAACCAGGGGATAGTTCTGTCTTCTGCATTTCCACGCGTTGCTGCTGCCACTGTCGACTCCGAAGCAAGACTGTCCGACGTAGCATCCCTCAATGGTGAGTTGGTGAGTTGGTCTTTCAATCTTAAATATAATTTGAGGGGGGGTGCTGATCGGGAGAGGGTAGAGTTGTTGAATTTTCTTAATAATATTCCTATGAACAACAATGCTTTTAGTCCGTGCAGAATAGTTTGGAATCCTGATCCAAACAGTAAGTTCTCGGTGAGCTCTTTATACAGGAACATTGTGCAGGATACGATGCCAGGAGTGCACGATTTCCCGTTGAAGCAAGTCTGGAAGAAATTGATCCCTAGTAAAGTGTGCTTTTTTATGTGGATGGTTTTTCATAACAAAATTCTTACAGTTGACAACTTGAAGAGGAGAGGATGGCTGATGGCGAACAGATGTTGTCTCTGTTGTAGAAATGAAGAATCCATCAATCACTTGCTGGTGGATTGTGTCTTTGTCAAGGAAGTGTGGAGACATATAAACAGGGGGAGAACGGTTTTGTCCTTCCAAGACAGGGAGGTGAAATTAATAATCAAACACAGCCCTAATTCCAAGCCGGGAAACGTCGGTGAGTGGTTTAGAGAATGTATACTACATGCTGTTTGGTGGTTTATATGGTTGGAAAGGAACCAAAGAGTTTTCGAAGAGAAGAAGTCGACAACCATGGGGGTGGCTAGAAGAGCGGCGAGGAACGTGATGGAATGGTTGTTGGCCTATGGCCAGATTGATAGAATTCAGGGTGAGGCTTGGTTGCACGAGCTCTTGTTGATCTGATGAGATGTGGCGGCGTTGCTGGTCTCTGAGTGTTGGTTCGGTGATCTGTTGTGTCGTGGAAGCGAAGCTGGACTTGGTGAGGTTGCAGGTCGATTTCCGAGGTGGTTCATGGAGTTAGCTTACTTGCTGCATATTTGGGGGGAGATGCTGTGGAGGTGGCTTGCTGGTTCGTTGAGCTGCTGTGTCGTGACGGCGATGCTGGACTTGGTGAGGTTGCAGGTCGTTTAGCGTGGTGGTTCATGGAGTACGCTTGCTGCAATTTTGGTGGGAGCTGCTGTGGAGATTTCGTGACGTCTGTTGGTTTTGGAGGACGGGTAGAGGCTGAGGAGTGTGTGTCGTTTGTGGATTGTTGTTGCGGGTTTGGGGTGTTATTTTGGCATTTTGGCCTGATTTGAATGCCTTTCTTTTGGTCCGCTATGGTGTCCATTTGGCTTTGGTCTTGTCCTTCTTTCGTGGCCAGGACACTTGTGTTCCTTCGACGAGTAGGAGCGGTCTGGTCCGCTTTTCTTTGTCGGTTTTTGTATCTTTTGTTTCTTTTCGTTTTTGTTCGTTGCACTGTGAGATCAGTCCTTGTGATCTCCTCTGCGTGTATAGTCCTTTGTTCTCTTTCCGTTTTCTTCTAGCAATAAAAGTTTATAGCTGTTTTCTTCTAGACCTCCTCTTTCATTTCTTTTGAGTTTTGGGTATCTTAGTGTCATAACCGGATTGCTCCATTAGTACGATATTGTCCGCTTAGAGCCAAGCCCGCACAGTTTCTTGTTGAAGTATAGTAAAGGGCCCTAACGCACTGGCATGTATTAAGTCGAAACATATTTATCACTGTAACAAAGATGAGTTTCCTTATAATGCAAGAGAAGTGAAAGTGGATACGTGTGTGTATGTTATTTGGACAAGTATTTTCTGAAAACAAAAGAGACAAATGGAATAGGGTTCCTTTATCCGGGTGTAGCAAAGCAATTAAACTGAAACATCACTAAGGACAAACTATAGTAGAAGGGATTACGTACGAAAGCTAATTCCTTTCCTGTTTCTCACATAAATATCAAGTTTAGAGTCTTCTTAATTGGAATAAAGCCGGACTTATGTGTGTATATATATGTCGAACAATCGCACTTCCATATAGAAAAAACATAAACTCACAGTTGAAAGCATAAGGAAAATTTTCTCCAAGCAACATACGAAAGAAATTAAATATATATATCCATGGGTTCGAAAGCTTGTATTCTTTTGTTCTTGTTGTTGGCTGCTTGCTTTCTAATCTCCGATGGCGCTTCCAGGGTCCGACTCTCAACAACCAACTCATCACCGCTCCCTTCCATAGTTTCGGATAGGGTTGACGGTGTCCTTCAGGTATCCATTGCATGCATGCACGCAACATTCTTTTTCATCTTTCGGCCATGTTAGTATTACGTTAGAATTATAATAACCATTATGTTAGTATTATATAATAACCGTTATTGATTGGCTACTGTATAGGCCGAAAGCGACTTCTCCCCGCCAGCACCAGTGGCCTTGACTGCTACGGCCAAAAACGGTAATGAAATTGACTGTCATAACCAAAAGGGCGATGACGCACCAGCTCCCGTGGACGACTAATGATAGAAGCCTATTCAAACCAATACATAGCCGCGTTATAGGAATAATTGTGACGTGATGGTAGTTATTAAATTTGCGTATGTAAATTAAATATGGCTAGTGGTGTAGTATACGTTAAAATCAACTACCTAGGATTTAGCATGTACGGGAAAAAAATGACATTTTAAATTAATATGTAGTTATGTAAGAGATGGGTAAATAGTTATGTTAAGATTATTAATTTATTACCTTGTAAAGTCTATATTTATGGATTAAAACGAGAAATGGATCTTACTAGCATGCATTATTTGAGTATATATATATATATATATATGGGGAGTTCTACGGTACCCCGGGTGAAATCCGGGGTACCGCATACCTTAAGTAAGAAAACGCAATCTAGAACTTGAATTGGCTGATCTTTCGGACATTATACTATACTCTGACCCATAAAGATCAAAATCTAGGTCTTAATTCTCTAAATCTTATACCCCAAGAACAATTTAATTAGAAACAATAATCAACGGTTATGATTCGTCCAAATATAGGCAAAAAAAGTAATACACCATATTAGGGTTTTTAGTTTATGATTTAGATGATTAGGACCTAGGGTTCACTCATTAAGGGTTAGGGTATAGTATCATGCCCAAAAATCCTGCTAATTCGAGGTCTACATAGCGTTTTCATACTCAAGGTATGCGATACCCCAGATTTCACCCGGGGTACCGTAGAAGGCACCATATATATATATAGTTAGTAATAATAAAGGTAGTTCGTGAAGCAATTAAATCTAGGTTGCATACGAGGATGAGTGCGTAATCTTTTTAGTTAATTGAAGTAGGGCGATGAATTAATTGTGGATTTTTGCGTATATGTAAAGGAGAACTAAATGGCTAATAATGGATGTAGTACGAGTTCTTCAAGTTTTAACCAGAGGGATGGTTAATATTGAGGGGACGATTTTAGTACGTATATAAATATATTGGTCATCATATATCAAGTATCGAAATCCAACTCGACGATCTTACGAGAATTTTTTAGTTACATTTGATTGCATGTATTTAATAACCGGTAAGTTACAGTTAAGAAGTAAGTTGCTTTTAAGGAGTATTTCACCTTCAAGGAAGGTGAAAAGTTTTAAGATTTTTTCGTCGCTAGCGCAAGTCAGTTGCCCATATGAGATTTTGAGATGAGCAGCAGTTATGCTTTTGAGAATTTTTAAGATGAGTAGTAGTTATTCTCTTGAGAATCGTGGTGAAGAGCCACTACGATAAGTTTAAGATGTTAGGGGGGATTATCGTCACGACTCCCCGGACTAAGTTTAAGTTTATGGAAGCCTAGATGGGCATAAATACGTATGAGTTGGGCAACTGGACTAGCTAGTTAGGGATGCCCGTGTCAGTCAAGAATTTAAGTCGAAATTTGAGTTTTAAGAATGTAGAGTAACATTAACTTTCATTTATTTTGAATAATATACTAGAGAGTTTAAACGTAAGGGCGTAGACTGACCCCAACTCACTTACCAAATCATAGAGGCGGAGATCGTACCAGACAGTTCGTGATCAGCAAGTTTGAGGAGCTCAACACAATCTTTGCTGAAGGATGGCAGGTGAAGGATCATCGTATGCATTGGAGAACACTTTAATTTGTTGATACTTTATGGTTATAAGTTTAAAATTGGAGATTCGTTTCTTTTGTTTATTTTAAGAGTATGATTTAACTTTTCCCCATGTGTTTAGGGCTTTGTCTTGAATTATTAAGTTATTTAAGTTTGGTAATTTTAATCAATGTTATGTTATTTGAAATGTTTTTAAATATACCCCGGGGTAGAAATATCATTTCCAAGTTTCAAAGTAGTGGGATGTTTCACAATCAAACAAAGTAACATACTTGCAAGAGTTCCTAGGTGGAGTAAGAAATAATTCTGAGTATCAAGGATAAAAAAAATTGTTTAGACATGATTAAGTTGGTTCAGTTTTTAATAGAATCAAGGATAAAAAAATTTGAACCGTTCCAGTTTAAAAACGAAAACTAAAAGAACAAGTTGTCCCTTCTATAAAATGATGTCGTTTACCACAACTAGATTTAATAAATATAGTTGTACTAAAAGAAAATAACATGTGTATCTTACAAAGCACTGGCATGCGTAAGAACTTGTCTCCATCATTTCTTGTTGAAGTATAGTAAAGGGCCCTAACGCTAACACTTATATTAAGTCCAAACATTTTTATCACTGTAACAAAGATGAGTTTCCTTATAATGCAAGAGAAATAAAAGTGGATACGTGTGTGTATGTTATTTGGACAAGTATTTTTCTGAAAACAAAAGAGACAAATGGAATAGGGTTCCTTTATCGGTGTGTAGCTGTTAAAATATAGGTACCAAAGTGTAATTGTAGTTAGGGTTTGTTATAGCGAACCTATAATTATGGTTGTAAACTGTAACAGAAGATTAACGAAATAAGATGCCCTAAAACCTGAGAGGGAGATCCTCTCCGTGGACTAGTGCCATACCGGCGATACCACGTTAAAAAACGTCTTGTTCTTCTTCGATTTAGCTTTTCTTGACATGGTATCAGAGCCTATGATCTGAGCTCTTGCTTTGCTTGTCTTTGCTTCGACTAGGGTTTTTCTTCTCCATCGTTCTTGGGGTTGCTGGTTTGTTGCTCGGCTGAGATTGGTGTCCTTAGGGTTTTCTTTTGGTGCTGTGTTATTTGGCTCTCTTCTGCTGCTATATCTCTGGGTGTGCGCAAGTTTTTTTTGGCTTGGGTATTGGTTCCTGGTCTCGTCTCCCCAATCGGCTCCTGCCTTCCTTTGGTGTGTTGTTCGCTGCTTTGGTTTCTTTTGCAGCCATGGATTTTAGCAAGATTGATGCCACTGCCATCAAGTTTGATGGAAAGAATTTTGCTTTGTGGGAGTTCAACTTCCGCAATTTCGTCGAAGGTCGTCGTCTTCTTCCTATCCTCACGGGTCAGTTGCCTCGTCCTGCTGCGACAAGCCCCGCTAAGGATGTTGAAGATTGGGCTGTTGGCAACGCCAACATAATCACTTGGCTGCTGGGCTCTGTTGATCCTGTTACTACCCTCAGCCTCCGTCGCTTTTCTTCAGCTGCTGAAATGTGGAAGCACCTCGTTACCACTTATTCTCAAGCTAATGCTTCCCGTCAGTTTCAGCTGGAGGTTGAGCTTGCTCGCTTTGAGCAAGGCGATCGCGACGTTCGCACTTACTATCAGGAGTTGCTTTCCCTGTGGACTGAGCACGATATGCTCACAACCTCTCTTTCGGCCGGGGCTGGTTCTGCCGAGGTTATTGCTGAGCGATCTCGCTCTCGTTTGCTTCAGTTTCTCATGAAGTTGCGCCCCGATTTCGAGCCTATTCGCGCATCACTCATTCATCGGAACGTTCAGTCTATTGATGAAGCCTTTG